CTCTGAGCTCAACATAAGGACAAAGAAATGGCTGGGAACACATGAACAGGGCCCGGTGCCTGGCTCAGGGCTCATCTCCGAGGATGAGCTTGGAAAGGAAGGCAGGTCCCTCTCCTGGTTCTTCAGGAACTTTGAAGAGTTCTCCCTCCCTCTTGCAACTCCTCAGGTTCCTCCCTAAAAGGTTAATCGTGGAATTGTCCCATCAAAGAAAATTGTACTTTGTGCCTCAAAGACCAAATGGAGCCTCACTAAAGTGGTTATTTACGGTCTCTAATGAGCATTTCCTGGGTGTGATTAACCTTTATGCCAAAGTCACACTGGGACCTCAGATGGCAGCTCAGATTGTGCTGGCCTGGGTGGGGGCGGGTGCTGGGGCTGGAGCATAAGCAGGCAGCTGCCAGGCTCAGCGCTCCCGCAGGCCCTCCAGAGACTTCTGTGTCACTCCTCTTGCTTCTCTGTGACTCTCTTCCCTCTCCCACTGTAGGTGCCCTGTGCTCCAGGGCCTGATGGCCCTTCGTGCAGTTACTTGAAGGCAGACGCCCTCTTTGAGCAGCAGGATGCCGTTGACTTTCTCAGACTTGAACCTCCAAAGTTTGTAAAGATTAGCAGTGAGACAGAGGCTTCCTTTGGGGTCAGGCAGGCTGGGGTACAGAACCACAGCACTGGTCAGTGAGTGAACCTAGCATACTGCCAGCTTCACCTTGCTGACTGTTCTAGTTCCTCTATTAGCTAGAAAACAGCAAGTGGCATGAGATACCTTGTTGTGGAATATTTAACTATGTAAAAATGTGTTACATTTGTTTATGCTGGGGAATATTACTTTAACTCTGTAAAGGTGCGTTACATTTGCTTATGCTGCATTTGTTTAAAGATGTAAGGATGTGTTACATTTGTTTATGCTGCATTTGCTTATCTACTTAAATATGTGGTGCTGTTTCCACCTTGTCTGCCTAAGGCACCTGATTGGTCTAATAAAAAACTGAACAGCCAATAGCTATGCAGGAGAAGGATAGGCGGGGCTGACAGGCAGAGACAATAAGTAGGAGGAGAAATGTAGGCTCAAGAGAAAGAAGAGAGGAGAAAATGAGGGAGAAAAAGAGAGGAGACACGTGGGTCCAGCCACCAGTCAACTAGATGGAGTAGGACATACAGAAAGTAAAAGATAAAAAGCTCAGCGGCAAAACATAGATGAAGAGAAACAGGTTAATTTAAGTTACAGAAGAAAAAAGAACCAACCAGAAATGAGCATAAGCTAAGGCCGAGCATGGTTTGGGAACTGTTTGGTAGCCTGGTATGATATTGAAAAAAAATTTTTTCAAAACTAGTTCTGGAGACCTAGGAGATGGCTCAGTAGGTACGGGAGTTTGTTACACAGGCATAAGGACCTGAGTTCAAATCCCAAATAACTCCATAAAATGCTGCTCATCACTGCACATGCTTGTAACCCCAGCATCAGGAAATAGATCCTGGGAACTCATTGGGCAGTCAGCCTGACTAAATGAGTGAGCTTCTCAACCACTGAAAGACCCTGTCTCAAGAAAATAAGGCAGAGAGAAATAGAGGATGACATCTGATATCTTCCTCTGAACTCACATGCGTGTGCTGCACATTCATGGACATGCAACACACACACACACACACACACACACAGAGAGAGAGAGAGAGAGGTTTAAAGATAGTTCGAAAGAGACAGCCAGTGTCTACAGTGTCTAGTGCTAAGGTTGAAAGAGGGAGCAAAAGGAAGTGGCGGTTCTCAGGCTAAACGTACTTTGGCCAATCTGATTTTGTAGAGGTCTGGACCTTTCTGAGAAGTAGAGGAAGTGATGAACCATCCTGAGAAAAGTAGGTTTGTAAAATTTACAGCTAGCCAGGTGACGTCGGTGGCACACACCTTTAATCCCAGCACTTGGGAGGCAGAAGCAGGCAGATCCCTGAGTTGGAGGCCAGCCTGGTCTACAGAGTGAGTTCCAGGACAGCCAGGCCTACACAGAGACACCCTGTCTCAAAGAAAAAAGAAAAAGAATTCCCACTTTTAGCTGGGCTTGGTGGCTCACACCTTTAATCCTTGTGCTTGGAAAACTGAAGCAGGAGGATTTTGAAATTGGGGCTAGCCTGGACTACACAGAGAGCCTGTCTTCAAACAAACAAGCAAATCTCCATGAAGAGGAAGACCAGGTAAGCCTGGGAAATCTGAGAGCCTTCGCTGTCAGCAGAGAAGTACCCTGCTGATACTTCAAGAAAATGGAGGAGGCCATGGAAGAGACTCGTACACAGGCTGCAAGAGGGCATTTGCAGGAAAACGCTGGGTCTTTTGTGGAAGCATGATTCTGAAACTCGATGGAAGCTTTTATAAACCTCTGTACAGCAGGAGGGGGTACAGGCAAAGACTCCACCAAGGAGCTGACCTTTTGGGAGAGGAAAGACCAGCTTAGGAATTTTAAGAGGCCTTTGCTTTTGCATAACGAAGCCCAAGACCTCTGTGGGTGGAAACCAAGCTGTGACCTAGCAAGACAGACTAGCAATGGTGTTCAAGGTCAGCTGAGCCCTTTGCCCTGTGGCATTTTATTCTTCTTTTTTTTCCCAACAAATCTGGGTTTCTGCTCTAATGAACCCCAGGACATCAAGATGTGCGAATAAGCTTCCGGCCCTTGCACTCCTCATTTAATTATAGCTGGGTCCAGCGTGTGCGATAATGAGCTGGCTTACGACGCCCTGGACCAACCCAGGCCTCTGTTGGGAGCATCCCTGACATGTGCAGGATACGGAGGAGTACCAGGGGCACACTGAAAGTGTATACTGAGTCACTTTGCTTTGGATGGCTAAGGAGGGGTTCTGACCCTAAGGACGGCTGAGTCACCAGGTGCTGGCCAGGGTTAGAAAAGATGCAGACTGTGTGGGCACACGTGTATGAGGAGGGACTGTACAGTGAGAGGTGACATAGGGTTAAGTGTCTTCAAGGGGGAACTGAAAGACAGAAGCGTGTTTTCAAGTATTAGATGAGTAAGGGTAGGTGTCGGTGGTGGGCTGATATTTTTCAGCAGGGTTTGCTATTTAATTTGCCTGTGGCTGAAATGAAGCTGATTGATTGATTGATATTGATTTGTGTGTGGGTTAGGAGGTGAAGGGCAGCAGGATTTTCTAGAAGGGACCTCTAGCCCCAGCAGCCATCACCCATCTCTGGGGACAGGACAGGATCCCTACTGACTCTTAAGTGAACTGTGTAGATTTGTCAGAAGGACACTGTTCTCTGCTTAGCTGTCAAGAGCCACCAGCTAGCCTGTGGCTTCCTCTTCTCTCCACATCTGCCTTTGCATTGGAAAATGGGGCCAATGATATTTCTTCACCCTCTGGAGACTGGGAAGCTTAATTACTGATTAATAAAGTGTGGGAAATTGCTCGGGACCAGAGCAACTAAAGAGTTTATTCTAATCATTGCCAAGGCCCACGAGTGAGTTCCCTGTCCCCAGGGCTGATGGCAGAGAAGCACCTGCACAGGATGAGGGAACTGGAGACTGTTGAGTCTGATGCTTGTGTCTGTTAGAGCCCCGGGATGAGATGGAGGGAGGGTGCTTGAGGTGGGGGAATGGATGAAGGCCCAAAAAGGACTTGGGCAGACATCAAGGGTACAGTGTGGCTCTGTAAGTCACCAGCATTAGGGATGGTTCTTATGGGAGTGGGTCCAGGCTCCACAAATGCATGGTGGGAAAGAAGGCATCGGAGACTGCCCTTGTCATCAATATTTGACAGAAGGGGGAGTGGTGAATACTGGTGAGGCTGGGGGAACTGGCCCCTGGAGGGAGCAGACAGATAGACAGATGGAGATACACACACACACACACACACACACACACACACACACACACACACACACACACAGAGCCCAGACACAGTCAAATTAAAACTAGGGTTCCATTTGCTTCTCAAGCTGGATATGGTGGTTCTTGTTGATAATCCTCTTGATCCTAGGACCCCCAAAGAGGGAACAGGAGAACAGAGTGGAGTGACTGTGTGGAGAACATGCCCAGGGTTGCCATCCTACCTGGGGATTCTTCTCACTGTGGTTAGGGCCCCAGTGGAGGAAAAACAGCATGTTGTAGTTCCCCTCTCCCACCCCACATGCTTCTGGACCCCCTTGCAGAAGGAATCCCAACAGACGCAGCTCCAACTGGTCTCCACCTCACTAGTTGGATCAGATAACAACCACTGAGTTCAAATCAGTCTGTAAGTCCTCATTGAGCACCCATTTTATACTCAAAACATCATTCATTAACCTCATTGCCAAATGTGAGTACATTACAAGCACAGACCCAGGGGAGGGCTGCACTTGCTTTAGAGCAAGGACACTGAGGCCTAGAGAGGTCACACGGTCCACCCATCCAGACTCTAACCTGTAGAGAAGGTAGTAACCCAATAAAGGGATCATCGTTATTGGGGGGCTCCATTCAAGAAGAGATTGTCTTCCGGTCATAGGACTCATGGTTGAAATCCTGGAGTCAGAGTAACACTGGGATCTCAGTGGGGTTAAAGGACAAAGACCTTCCCTGGAATAGGGACCCATCTTCCCAGACACAATCATTTCTTCAGCGCCTTGGTTTCCTCACCTTCGTTAACTACACCCATGCTGTCCCCAGGGTGAATTAAGCCATCGTAGATATCACAGCTCATCAGAAGAGCTTAAGGCAGGAAGCACAATTTGCAACGACTGTTGTAAGCCAGGTGGGCAGGAGGGCTCAGGAGGAGCTCACTGAACCACAGGCCAGAAATGCCACAGAGGAAGGGAAAGGTGGAAGATTGTGTGCAAATGTGTGTGCATGCATTTGTAGGGACCTCGTTAGACATGTTTGGGGTCCATGCCTCCATTCCAGGCCCCATATGAACCAGACAATATCAAACATTCTGGATGAGACCAGGAGACTGTGCAAGAGGAGGAAGGGGCAAAATTATCAACTCAGACTGCTGAGTACCCCCTAACAGTGTCCTGTACCCCCTTATGCCCACAGGCCCTTCTCCTCCTGGGGCTGAACCCCGTCTCCACCACCCTACAAGATCAGCGCTGTGAGAGCCTGTCCCTGGCCAGCAATGTCTCTGGTGAGTCATCCCTGTCCCTTACCTCCCAGGTTGCCAGGTTCCCATGGGATCTCCTCCCCTGGAACTCTGAGCAGTGGCCTGTATGGAAAAAAATCTCTGGAACTGGAGTCAGTGAAGGCAAAGAGGCCTGTGGTTAGCCAGCAGCCTCAACTTTTGGTACGGGAGAGATACACTTAGCAAATACACCTCATGGTCACCATCCCAGAGGCAACAGGGGAAAGCCCCCCAGGCCTCAATGCTGGGGCTATTGGCAAAAGGTCAAACATTGTTGCTGTTGTTAAACATGCTGGAGTGTGAGGCTGTATGCTACTAGCATCATGGATTTGAGGTACTGTCACCCATCTGACACCTAAGGCAACTGAGGCACAGAGAAACATTAAGTACTAGAGCCTGGGTTGCAAAGGCAATCTGGCTCCCTGGTGATGCTCAATACCTCCCCAACAGAAAATTCTAGATGCATGCAAATTCACCAAGGCCTATGGCTTATCCATTGACAAGGGCTTCTACATAGTTATTTTATCCCTTATGAACTAAAAACCTGATCTCCATCCATATGGGAAAACTGAGGCATGAAAGAGTTTCATAAATTTCCCAGGGTCTGATCCCAAATCTAGGTCTGCTGGATCCCAAGGCTAAGTCTCCTCTCACTCTGGACATGGCCCTGGGGATGGCAGCTGCCAGGCAGGATGTGGTGGAGATGCATTTTTTGCCCTCTCAAATTAGCCAGCAGACACCTCCCGTGCAGCAGATCCTGTACACATCACCAGAGGACCTGGGAGGGAGGGTCTCCCAGTTTCACCCAGGTCCCCAGTGCTGAGAGTCAGAGGGTGGAGAGCAGCCAGTGGAGAAATGGACTCAAGAATGTAAAGGAGGCAAGAGGAATTCATTTCTAAAGCTGAGTCTGATGAGAGAGGAGGCTTCTGTAGCTGACAGCAGTGGCCACGTGGCTTGCTGTCCCCTCACAGAGGTGGGGGAAGAGAATACTGTTCTGTACTGACTCCAAGCTGGGTTCACTCACACCCCAACTGTGGGGCTAAGGACTGGTACTCACAGGAAGATCATGCCCTGGACTTCTTTGGCCCTTGCTTTGCCCAAATGGAGGGAGGGAAATCCTGAGGTTAAATGCACTGAGTTTTGCAGGTCTGTTTCACAAACTGTAGCATGCAGACAGCTACTGAGTATAACCATGGGTGGCTTTTTAAAAGTACGAATTGTATACCTAGGAGGAAGAGAAAGTATGCCCTACGATTGTTTGCTTACTACAATAGAGGGTGTCAGGAAGGCTAGGATGGGGTAGAGCAAATCCAAGAAGCCTTCCTGAAGGAGGGTTTTTAAATGAGCCTAGAGATAGGACAGTCAGTGATTGAACACCAGTGGGTAAGTTGGCAGAAGGACTCACCAGGGTAAAGAAGGCGCTGGCTGTCCCAGCATTGGACTACCCACTGGCTGAGTTGAGTGCATTGCTCTCAGCCTGTGGGCAGTGGCAGCCAAGGACAGGGAGGGAGGATGCCTGGAGGAAAGGTCCCCATCCCTCCTCCCCACCCCAGGTCAGGCCAGGCTCCATTAACTTGCTTGTGTTCAAGAGAAGCGACACCCTGGAGCCACACAGGTGTCACCTGTCCTTGGAGGCAGCAGGCTGTGAGGAACGGTGTTCATTCCTGTGTGATTTGTACTGGATGCCCCACCCCCATCCCAGCCTGCCTGGCTTCATAGGATGCAATCCATCACCTTCCACAGTGGCCTCCGCTACGGCCATTTGTCATCTGATGGACATTGGCAGAGACAGATGGTGAGGGTGGGGTGGAGGGCCCGGGACAGATGGATGGGCATCTGGCCGGAGTGACTGGCACTGTGCTAGAACCTTTGGGGGCCTCGCACATGCCTCATGCCAGAAGTAAGGAGGGGTTAGGTTCCCATGGCCAAGGCCCCCATCATGTGACAGATTACAGACTTGGCGACTTATAAAACCATGGCATGAGTATGACTGTGCCAGAAAGTAATAGAATTACTGACTAATAACACCCCAGACAAGTGGAGTCAGAGCTCAGGAGGACCTGGGGTCACCAGTTCCCATCGCTGTTCTTAAAGCGGTAACGATGAACAACCAACAGTAATAGTAATAGCTGATACGTGTGGATGTCCACTTTGTGTTGGGCACAATTCTAAGTGCTCAGCCTCATCCAGTCATCACAATAGATTCACCAAGGATTTTTCTTCCTGCTTTAGAGAAAAGGAACCTTAGACTCAGCGAGGTTGAGGAACTTGACTGAGCACACACAGTTACCAAGCACTGGCCAACTGGGTCTGATTTCAGATTTAATACATTATGTGGTCTCTTAAGAGATCTATCATACCTAGGGCCCAATGTTACTTGGAGACACAGTGTCACTTGGAGGTACAGTGTCACCTCTGCAGTTTTCCCTGCACATACTGAGCATGTATATGGCCCTATGGTTTTTTTTAAAGCCCCTACTATGTTCCTGTACTTTTACAAGATATTGAGTGCAAACATTAAGAGTGATCAGAGCCACAAGACAGGACACCTCACAGGCTCCTGCCTCTCCTGGTATGGCCCACACGCCACAGAGACACCATTCTTTGCCCTGCTAAAGAGGCAGCTTAACCCGAGGTGCCAAGACCGTCTGCCTGCCCCTGTGCCTCTCTCTGTGCCGTGTCACCCAAACAGAACAATTGCACCTTCAGCCCAGAGCACTCGCCTTCTGGCTTGAGGTTGCCACAGGGCACCTGCCTGCTCCCCAGCCTCAAGCCAGATGGGTAGATCTTCCTACCTGAAAGGGGGCTGCCAGGTGCTCACACCCTCTGAGGTTCACTCAGAAGCAGGTGATGGGAGACCACTCCTAACCAGGCAGGAGCATGGCTCTTGTTTCCTTCCAGCATTACCAACAGTGGGAGGGCCCTCTGAGCACATTAGGGCACTAAGCTTGGTAGGGAGGGAATTGTGTGGCCAACTTGACAGAAGAAACCAGTGCCCAACTGTGCACAAGCAGAAACTGGGCCACCCTTCAAAGGGCTGTTATCTGTTATCTGAGTGACACAGTGACAAGAATGTCAACCCCAGGGACCACAGCAAACACCTACCTCAGGATCTTTGTATTGGCTGCTCCCTCTTCATCATCTATGTCCATGACTCCCTCCCTTCCTTCAAGTCTATAATTAAACTTAGTGTTTTAGAGAAATTCCAAATTAAAGCAACAACCAGTCCATCTTTATCTCCCATTGTTTGTAGTATTTCTCACAGGATAGCACATGCTTGCTCAATCACCCTGTCTCCCGCTAGGAATGCAATCACCCTTGGAGCAGGATATCTTTTATTCTTATTGTTTTGTTTTTTTCTAGACAGGATTTCTGTGTGTATCTCTAAATGTCCTGAAACTTGCTCTGTAGACCAGGCTGGCCTTGAACTCAAAGAGATCGACTGCTTCTGCATTTTGAGTGCAGGGATTAAAGACATGTACCACCACTGCCCAGCCTATTTTATTCATTTTATATCTCTAGTTCATACCATTTCTTAGGTAACTTGAGTGTTTGAATTTTTTGTTTTGTTTTGTTTTTGTTAAGAGAGGGAAAGAATGTGAAGTTGGATTGGTAAGGAGGGAGCAGGGAGGACCTGGGATGAGTTGGGAAAGGGAAAAGAATATGATCAAAATATATTGTATGAAAATAAAAATAATTTGAAATTCCCTGTCCATACAGTAAGTGACCAGGAAGCAGCTCATAGGTGCCAGCTGACCATAGGAAGAGTTAGGCCCCTGGCCCCAGCTCATCTTCTCTGCTTCAGGCTGAGTCTGGTTAGCTAGCAGGCTGGCTTGGCCTGGTCTAAACTGCTCCTCATCTCAAAACTCTGATAATAAAGTGAGACAATAACCCCCCAGGGGAAGAGAAGAGCCTGTTTGGGGCAGTTGCACCTATAGGGGTTGGCTGAGATGGCTCAGTGGTCTACAGAACTCAGGTCCTTCTCTGTGTAGCCCTGGCTGTCCTGGAACTCATTCTGCAGACCAGGCTGGCCTCGAACTCACAGAGATCTGCCAGCCTCTGCCTCCCGAGTGCTGGGATTAAAGGCGTGCGTGCCACCTATTGCTCCTCTTCAGAGACCCTGTCTGTCTGCGAATCCCCAGGGACCCTGCTCTCTTTCCTAGGTATGGGGTTCACAGGGTTTGCTGCAGTCAGGCTGTTACTGGAGAACGTAGGGCCTCGGGGAGGTGGTCTCGGGCCGGGTGGTACACTGGGCAGCATTGTCTGAGGGCTCTGCCGTGCTGCCTGCTCCCGGCCCTCCACCCCTGGGTCCCAGCACTTCTTTCCTTCATCTCCATCCCCATCCGGAGCTCTTAGAGGTGGACTGAAATCCTAGTGCTAGTTCCCCAGGAACTGCATGGGTGGAGCCCGGCCGCCGCTCCTGATTGGTCCCCCATACCTTCGGCCCCGCCCTCTCTGACACTGCCCCACCCATGAGGCCTGGAGCCCCTCTCTGAAAGAAGCTGGTGCTTTCTTTGTTGCCTACCCCACCCATTCCACCTCTCCTCTCCATTCTTGCAAACTTTCACAGACTTTCATCCTCCGGGGCTTTCTGGGCTTTTAGCATAAAGGTCGCTATATCTCCAAGGTCACTTCAACAGCTTTCTGTGAGTGTTGGGGACAGGCGCGAGGGACAAGGAACAGAGCGGGGCTCCAGCCAGATGCTATAAAAGGCAGATGCGGGCCAGGGGCTTCTGTGGGGCAGGGACCTCTGTGGAGCAGTGAAAGCGCCTGGGCTGGCCTCAGAAGCCCAGGGTTCAAAAATCCACTCCACCTCTTGGTAGCGTCTTGCTGTTGGCCCCTGTGTGTTCTGCGGCCTTCAGGGTCCCTTGTCTGAAAAGCATGGAGTTAGCTCCCACATGGGCAGTTGGTGTTTAGATAACCGGGGTAGATTTTAGGTTATCTAAAGGAAATCCTTAGGGACATTTGCCATTCTGCATCACCCACCATCATGTGGGTCCCCAAATCCCTGGATGAGCTGCGGGCAGAGTTAGAACTCCAATTAGGGTCTTTAAACCGAGGAGGGGGGTACTGGGGGAGACTCCTCCAGGAGGAACCTCGATGCTCTAGAGAGCCTCAGCAAAAGGTGTGCTAGGCACTTCCTTCCCTGGACTCCTGACACAGTGCATTTAACCACTTCAGTGCTGGGTGAATGCCTGAGTACCCTGTGAGGAAAACACCCTCACCAACAAAGCCCATCTGGGGCCAGCCAGGACTTTCGCTCATTCATTGCTCTGCTCTGGAACCCACAGTCTCCCTAGTACGGCAGCAGCAAATTCACATTATTGTATAGGCTGAGCCGCTGTCTGCACTGGGGCATTGCTTTCCCTGTCTGTAGTGGGGCTGAGGGTGGGCAGAGCTCTAGAGGGACTTCCAGCTGCCTAGGGCCTTGGCAGGACCTCACTTTTTCTCACCAGTTGTCTCTGTCCCTAGGCCCGCAGTGCAATGCCTCCGTGGACCTCATTGGCACCTGCTGGCCCAGGAGCCCTGCAGGGCAGTTGGTGGTTCGGCCCTGCCCTGCCTTTTTCTACGGTGTCCGCTACAACACGACAAGTAAGGAAGAAGGAAGAGGGTGGGCTGCCGGGGGCTGAGTGGCAGCAGCTTGGAGGTGGGACGAAAATCCGACAGCAGCGACACCCCTAGGGCCAGCTCTGCTCTCCCTGCTGATTCTTTCAGAGACAGCATCCAGTATATAACCAAAGCACGGGGACTCAGAGAAGTTAGGGAGCCTTCCCAGGTCACCAGCTGGGAGGGGGTGAAGTTGGAATGTGCAGGTTAGTCCCACTGAGCTCAGCCACTCCTGAGATAGATCTTAGCGGTCCTACTAGGCCTGGCTTTGCTGATAAAGACCCCAGAGCACCTGGAATGCCATATCCATGATAGAGAGTGACTTGGATTGAGGTATCCCAGGCCCACAGGGGTGGTGGAGGAGGGGAAGGACCGACCCACAGACTAAGCAGATACTGGATCCCCGTGTAAACACCTTGCTCCCCAGAGGCCCAGCCTTCATGCTGAGCTTTGCAGCTCCTTGCTATAACATCTGCCACCCTCACAGTTAATTTGCTTTCTCCTGCCAATGACCCAGGTCCCTGCTATCAAGAGAAAAACAGATGGAAGCCAGGGGCCCTGCAAAGGAGGTTGGGCTCTGGGTCCCTGGGACTAGGAGCCCCTGTGTGAGCCCTGAAACTCCGAATATATGTTAAATATGACTGAATACCGGGTGGCCCAGTCAAGGCTCACTGGGTGACATCAGTGCTTTCTCCCTTCTTGTGACCCTCTGGCTTCCTTGTCTGGGGATTAGAGGCCTGAGAACCTTTTCCAGCTCACTCCAAAGTCCCAAACCTCCCCTCCTGCCCCTCGCTCCTTTACTAAGTGGGTGACGGGGCTAGGATTGGGAATACAGCCAGAAGCATTTGCCAGGATGACTGTAGGAAGGCCAAGAGAGCAAGAGTGCTGGAATGGGTGAGGGGTCTGGGAGGAGAGAGCAGGTAAGAAGTAGAGATAAAAGAGGAGGTTTTTTTGTGGTGCACCATCGGCTAGCTTCCAATTGAGTAGGGCACACTTTGTAAAGAGGAAACTGAGGCATAGATAGATTGATAACCTAATCAAGGTCACAGAGCCTGAAGGTAGAGTCCAAATTTGGGAGTCTAGGGCCTGCACACTGCCCTACATACACCCCACACCTTGTCTCAGGACGGTGGCAGCACGGGCTGGCACACCCAAGCTCCACATGAGGTCTCTCCCTTCTCTGCAGCACCAGAGCCTGTCTGGTCACCTCCAAAACACTCATCGCGCTACCTGCCTGCTGCCCAGACTCAGGCACCCCAGTCCAAGGCCCACCACCCAGTCTCACCCTGATACGCCCCACTCGTAGCCTTACTTTTCTGTGCCTCGCCATTGTCTGTATTCCTGGGTGGAGGCTCCTAGGCTGTCTGATTACAGCCCTACCCACTTCTGCAGGCAGCCCAGCCGTTCTCCCTGGGTACTCTCATTCCCCATTACCAAAGCTTGCTGGACACATTCCAGTAAGTGCTGTTGGGCTTTAGTGCTATGGTACACATGGGCCCTGCATTCAGTAGAAACCAGGTATCCTGAGCTCTAGATCCATCTGTCTGTCCTAGTTCAAGAGCCCTTGGCTTTCTGGGCCTTTGTTTCTCTACCTGCAGTGTGGACAGAGGTGGGGTGAGATATCCCCCGGGTTCCCTTGCTCACCCAGTAGATCCAAAGAGAAAGTTGAGAAGTTGGTTTCCTGGCATGGGCTGCCAGACTTCCCATGCAGGTGCCCCTGGCGCCAGACTATAGGAGTGCGCCCACAGTGGCGTCAGGAGGGGGCAGAGTGGCTCCTAATCATTAGCTTCTAATTAACTCATTTACTGATGAGGTGTTGCTAGGACTTTCAGGCTGCTCCTTACCGTCCTCCCTCCTGCCGCATCAGATCTTCAAAGGGATGGGAAACATTTCCAAAAATATCCATTTTCCCATGATCCTCTAGGAGGAGTGCTCAGTTCAGCAATTAGATAGAGGAGGTTGGCTCCTCCCTGGCAACAAGCCCCTGTGTGTGAGGCTTGTTTTCCTTTGGGGTCAGTTCGTCCCTCTGGGTCAAAGCTTGCTGCTTCTGTTGGTCCAGCCTGGGGACAGGATCCAAGCACCCTACCCTGGATGAGGGTGGGTAAGGAAAGCTGTTGAACAAAGCAGGCTCATAAAATCTCCCCCTGCACCTCCTTGGATAGAGACAAGTGATATGTTCTATTATGTAAGGTTATATAAATACAACAACTCAGAGACAACAATAATAAACACAGACACCATATGCCCGGTATGCTTCCAACTGCTAACTAAAAACACTAACCCAAAGAGGCCAGAGTGTCTTCAAGATGGCTCTGTCTCAAGATAGGGAAGCAGAGCAGTCAAGTGACTCCCCCAAGGTCACACAGCTTGTGTAAGGGTGGTGTCAGCATTTGAACCCATACTCTGTGGCTCTAGGGGCCCTATTCTGAACCCTACTTTGGGCTGCCTCTCTCAGTTTTATGCTCTCATTATCCATCTCTGCCCTGAGTTCCTTTCTCTGCTGACATTCCAAGCAGCTGCTGGTTGATGCTGTAGTCAACCCCCTTGTTCTTAGCCTCCTGTCCACACAGATATCCCAGAACATCCTCATCGTGAGCCCCTTGGGGATCAGCTCTTATTTAACACTAGGAGAGAGTCTGTGGCCTCATTGCCAACTCTGTCCAGATCGTAGCTTTTCCTAGGACTCAGATCTGCTCACAGCAAGGCCAAGTAGAGCTAGAAAATTCATAAAGATAATTTTCCCCATCATCTAGCTGCAGCCAGAGCAGCTTCTCAGGTTAGAGAGGAGGCCACAGCCTTTTAGCTTAGGAGGTCAAATCAGCTCCCTCTATTGAGGCAGCATCAATTCCCCCTGGCCCTCATTCTGCATCTACCTCTGGTCTTGATGCTGACAACAGAAGCAGCTCCCAGGCTGATGGTCCTTAGGGATCAACTGGAGCATCTCCATCTTTGGAGATGAATGGAGGGGCCAAAAGGCACTCTAACTGCTCAGCCACAGCTGATCTATACCTTTGGCCCCTGTAAGGGCTCCAAGTCCAGTGACTAGGGCTCTGGCAGCTTCCCTAGTCATCTTCCAATCTATGAGTCAGTTGAAGCCACAGAGTGGACTCCAGCAAGAGAGACTCCAGTGGAGATGACTCAGGGCTCAGTTTCCTTTATGACCAATGCTGCTTAGAATGAGAACCAGAACTATGAGGAAGCATGGTTGACAATACTGATGCCAGAGAGGTACAGATGAGGCGGGGGTTATCGCAGGAGAAGAGGAGAGTGCAGATGGGACACCCATCCCTTGTGGATTTCCCAGCTCTGGTACCCAAGGGGCTATGCAGGAAGTCAGTAAAAGAGGCTCTTTGGGCAACCCTGCCTCCCAAGGCCCTAAAGCTAAGTAGAGCAGTCCTAAGCCCCTCCCCCAAACCTCCTTAGGAGGTGAGGTTCTGGCTACAGTCCAGTCTGACAGTCACAGGATCCTCCACCTTTTGTAGCCACACTCTGTCTTCTTTTCCAGTGTTGCAGAGTAGGCCGACAGTGGCAGTATCAGGCCTAGTAGTGAGCCACCGCCCACGTGAGAGCCACTTGGTGCCATCCACAACGTCCAACATACCCCTGCCCCTGCCTTTTTCTGCCCAAAAGGCTTCGCCCATGGAGCCTTGAACATAAGGCATACTGTGGAGAAATGGTGCTATTGGGACCGTCTACAAGTCTGACCCATGTGAAAAAACCCTAATGTGAGAACTCCACACAAGTAGACAAGCCCAAGGAACCCCCTATTTAAACCGCCCATGTTAGCAGTTACTACATATTCATCTACCAGATCCGGCCCAGCCGTGTACCCCTTTTAAAAAGATGTAGCCCTGGCTGTCCTGGAACCCACTCTGTAGACCAAGCTGACCTCGAACTCACAGAGATCAGCTTGCTTCTGTCTCCGGAGTGCCAAGATTTAAGACTTACAGCACCACTTCCAGACACAGGATCTGTCATTCTCTGCTGTCATGCAGGACCCCAACCGAGAACATCTTCGAAGAACAGCAATCAGGAAGTTTACCACTGGAGAGGGTTTGTGAGGGCACAGCCGCCAGGGGTGAGGGAAGTCCATGCCAATGCCAGTTGGGGCTAACAGAGCCGACGCCCTGTGGGCAGCTTGTAGGGCACAGATGTAGCCCTTTGTGGTAGGAGGTAGGACATGGGACAATCAGGAAGTCACTCCCCCAGTTTTATCCCAGGCTTCCCATCCAGCAGGCCCTGTGCTAGCTCAGATGTGTGGACAGACTCTTCCGCCATAATGTTCTTCTTTTTCCAGACAATGGCTACCGGGAGTGTCTGGCCAACGGCAGCTGGGCAGCCCGTGTGAACTACTCTGAGTGCCAGGAGATTCTCAACGAAGAGGTGAGGATAGGCCACCATACTGAGGGCCAGGCCAGGGCCACCAGCACAAGCTGGGCACCTGCCACATGGCCAGCTGGGGCCTGGGAGCTTTTCAGGAGCTGACACTGAGGCTCTGCCCTAGGGAAACTGGCGGGGAACAGCTGGACATGTGGAGTGTAGTAAATTCAGTCCTGGTCCTCTTCCATCCTCCCTTCCTCCTTCTTTCCTTCCCTCCCTTCCTGCCTCCCTCCCTCCATCCCTTCTTCCCTCCTTCCCCACCTTCCTTCCTTCCTCACTCATCTTTGGCTGCTTGCACTGGGTGTGGGGCAAGGCCTGGGTACAGTCAAGTCAGACAGCAGCTGGATCCACACTGACACCGAACAGGCGGTGATACAGTTTGGAAAAAGCCCCAGAGATGCTTTGCAAAACTTCAGTGGTTTTGAGCCGCTGTTGCTTACATGGAATGCAAAATGTAAAAGGTACAGATGGGAATACAGCAAGAAGCACCCCCTCCCATTGCCGTCCCTAGCCAGTTTCTCTCGTGTTCTGTGTGTCCCAGTCAGTGTGTCTATGCAATCATGTTTTGGGCCTTACCCAAGCTTCATCTTTTAAACACACTACCTGACGCTTGCTTCTTCATGCAGCCATCTATCCCAGAGACTGTTCCAAGTCAAGTTTAGAGGGAGCGTCTTCATTCTCTTTATAGTTGCATAATATCCCCTCTCCAGATGTGCCACAACTTAGTGGGTCAGTCTTTATTGTCAGTCTTTGTTTTTTGCACACTTGATAGGTACATGAATGTGTGAGCTCCTCTTTCACTGCCTCTACACGGCCTCCTTTACTCCTACTAAGGAGGGTGGGATCAGGCTGCCAGGTCTCTCTGTGCCTTAGAAGTGAGGAAGACAGATTAGTCTGGGAATCCTGGGAATTCCATCATCTGAAAGGACTGAGTTAGAAAGGAACTTGGAGGCCCTCCATCTCGTCTTGAGCTTCCCAGACCTGCTTAATCTCACCCAGAGCACTTGTTCACACACAGGCTCCAGAATCTATAAGGGCAAACTTCCCCGGGGACAACCTGGGGAATGCGCATTTTTACGTGTGTGTTGGTACATGTGCACATGTGTATGCCTGTGTGGACACCAGAGGTATCTTCCACTTTGTTTACTGAGGCAGTCTCTCACTGAACCCAAACTCAGCCAGTCAGCTAGTCTGTCTAGGTAGCTTGCCTCAGAGATTCCCTGTCTTGCCCACCAAGCCCTGAGACTACAGGTGGACGGCCAGTCACTCAGCTTTCAAAATTATTTTTATTATTTTTATGAGTGTTTTGACTGTATTTGTTGCTGTGAACCATGTGTGTACCTGGTGTCTGAAAAGGCAAAGAGAGCATAAGAAGCCCTGGAACTGACATTGTAGACAGTTGTGACTCCCCAAGTGAATGCTGGGACTTGAACCCGGGTCCTTTGGAAGAACAGCAAGTGTTCTTAACCACTGAGCCATCTCTCCCGCTGCCTACTCAGCTTTTATGTGAAGACTTAAACTCCAGTCCTCATGCTTGCACAGTAAGCCCTTTCCCCACAGATCTATAATCTCAGTCCCAGCAACAGACATTTTTAACAGATGCCCCAGGGAGCCTGCAAATGAAGCAAAAGTGAGAAACTGAAGCCTGGAAAGCAGGAGTAGCATACAATGTTACGTAGCCAGAGTGTGAATGTTCTCTGAAGTCATAGTTCAGAACCAGGTACCTTATGAAGCAAGGTGGGTGGGGGACAGTGGCTTGCCCCGCCCTAGGCTATATGACTTCAAGCCACCAAACTATTGGACTCCCCGTCTTCTTCTAGAATCTGCAAAGGCAAGTCAGTTTGGGCTAAAAGGATGTCAAGCTGCTGTCCTATTCTGTGGGAAAGTTCCTCGGGATGCAGCATGAGGGTTATTTGGCATCTCGGATCCAACGAGGCCTAGACATCTTGGTTGTCTGACCCTGAGCCAACTTGAGCAGGCCTAGGCTGGGAGAGGGTCAGAGTCCAACTAGGAAGCAGGCATGCCAGCAAATGATGGGGCAGGAGACTCCTTCTCCAGCCTGCAGTGGAGGAGGCTGTGGCAAAGAGATGGGCCTTGTGCACTGAAAGGCAGGTCAGACAGACTCTTAAGGCCACAGTTCCCTGCCCAGGAAGGGGTGGAGCGAAGACGTGTAGATGGGAATGTGTTGGCAAAGCAGACATCTTCTGGCCCTCCCTGCTGCTGTTGCCTATCTGTGAGGTGTATGGAGGCATCGGATGTCCCACAATGAGCCTGACACCCCGCTAACACATGCAGCGCCAGGCATCTGACCCTTGGATCTGGGCAAAGCTGGAGTCTCTACCGTTGCTCCCATTCCAACCTCCTGACCTGCCTCTGCATCTCATGACTCAGGATTCACACCTGTACCTGTCCTGCTCCAACTTAATCCCCTTTCTTCTGGTTGGCTGATGGGAGGGCAGGGCTTACAGAAGCCTCCCTTCTCCCTGCCCTGTCAGGATGGGGATCTCTCCTCTTTCCACCAGCAAGGTTAGGTAAGGAGACTTGGTGCTCCCCTCTTTGGCAGTGTGACTGGAGTAGCGATGGCCTGGGGGGTAGCTAGTTTGGAGTCTAGAGACTGCTGAAGGTGCTCCCATGGTCTGTGATGACCTTGAGCAGGGAAATTCCTTGAAATCCCCTTAGCAAAGCTAAGAATGACTCAGCTCTTGGCTCCTGATGGGAGGGAGAGGCTATCAACTTAAACCGTGGCAAAGAATGGAGATTAATCCCCAACCATGTCTCAGTCCTACCCTAGGAAGTCAGAATGGGCAACAGTGTGACTGAGAGAAGGTGACATTGGCGGGGGAACTCCAGTTAGCATGGGTCCTGATTTGGTGGGACTGAGACCCACATATCCTATGCAGTGACTCACCCCGACCTGATCCACGTCTGTCTGGTTTGGCTGGTCTTCTCTGGCCGTCCTTGCTGACCTGATTGGCTGGCTGCTCTGAGCAATGAGTTCCTTTAGTGGAAATGCCATCTCTACTGCCAGCCCCTAGCCTCCAAGACTCTCTGTCCTCTCAGATTCACAGAGAGGCAGGTGTCTAGCTGAATGAGCAGCAGGTTGCTCAGCTCTGAGCCTAGGGTAAGCCCAGATTAAGTACAGGGGTGGGGTACAAATAAAAATGTCTGTCTTAGTTACTTTTCTATTGCACCAGGACCAAGGAAACTTGCAAAAGAAAGCCTTTCACTTGGGGCTCACAGTTCCAGAGGGTTAGAGTCTACGACCATCACAGCTGAGAGGATGACAGCGAGGAGGCAAGCGTGGCCCAGGAGCAATAACTGAGAGCTTATATCTTGAAGCACAACTATGAAGCAGTGAATTAATAATGGTCTGGGCTTCTGAAACCTTAAAGCCCGCCCCCAGTGACACACTTCCTCTAACAAGGCCACGCCTCCTAATCCTTCCCAAACAGTTCCGCCCATCGGAGGCCAAATACTAAAACATAAGAGCCTTTAGGAGTCATTCAAACCACCACAGGGTCCTCAGAAGGCTACCTGAAAAATGCAACTTGTGAGGGCGTGGAGACGTCAGGTACAGAGATCTGGCCGGGGGACAGATCCTCAGCTGGGAAACTTGATTAATCTGGGCCAGGGATGACACATAACCCCCCCCCAGGAACCACCCTACACTGACTTCTGCTTCCTGTAGCTGTACCCACTAAGTGACTGGTTATACTGTCATCAACTATTCTCTGTTCCCTGACAGTTACACACTCTCTCCTCCCCCACATGCCACTGAGCACAAGGTCTCAGGCTCATCCTGGGAGGTTTCATGGGGGACATGAAAGGGACTCTGTGACCTTATGAGCCAGGGATCAGGGCTGGAGGTGGGGCAGTGATTGGAAAGGGCTGCTGAACTGTTCAGATGCTCGGAAACCCTCTGGGCTTCTTGTTAAAGGGAAGGTCACGATTCTGTGCAACTGGGGTTGGGCTTGATTCTGCCCTTCTCAGAATATCTGCAAACACCTGGCCTCTGACCGGTGCTTTAAGGACCACACTTTAAGAACTAGAGGTACGGACCACCCACAGAGGAATAAGAGAGGCAGCTCAGGAAGCCAGATGGACAGGAAATGCCACAAGTATGGTGAGCAGGGATGGGGGGGCCACCCGGAAGGAGCTGTGGCGATCTTGTTGCTTTCATCCTGGCAGGGCATCCAAACAGATCTGATGGCACTGGCCTTTGGAGCAGGATGAGATCCACAGAAACTGCTTGTTAGAGTCTGGTCTCGGGGCCCTACACAGTGGTCCCTCTCCAGCACCCCACTGAGCCACCCTCCTCCGGGAGCCTGTGGATCTCAGGTCTCCAGACTGGGCAGGGAACAAGTGCTGGTCAGGTTTCCCGGGGTTGGCTCTGCCCACTTGTGCTTTGGGAATCCAGTGACTTCTGTAGTTCTTTGTGGCTTGTCCCTGGGAACTCAGGGTGTCACTGACATCTTTTGGGGGGAGTCCAGGAAGATCATTGGCTGTCTCTTGAGACCTTTACTGGCTGGTCTCTCCAGGTGTCCTTGACAACCTCTTGGGGGTGTTACTAACTTTCCCTTGGGGTGTCACTGACTACTTCTCAGGGTGTTGTTATGTGTCTTTCTACACAGTGCCAACCGGAGCTCTGGTTGTTAAGGGAACTTTCTCAGTGTCACTTGCTGTTCTGCCTGGGTGTCACTGGATGCATTCATCTCTCAGAGTGTCGCCAACTGTTTTTGATCTGGTTTTGTTACTGTAACAGAATACTTCAGATTGAATCTTTTAATTTTTGAGACAAGGTCACATGTGGTTCAAACTGACCTCAAACTTTGTATCTACGGGAGGGCCTGGAGGGATAGCTCAGCAGTCAAAAGCACTTTGCACACACCCGGGTTCCATTCCCAGCACTCACCTGGTGATTGACAACCATCTGTAACTTCAGCTCCAGGAGGACCAATGCCCTCTTCTGACCTCTGCAGGCACCAGGCACATACTTGGTGCAATGCATACATGCAAACAAAGCACTCATAGACACGAAGACAAAATAAATACATCTAAACAAATTTTTAAACTTGAATTCCTCCCAATCCTATAAACCCAAGCCCTGAGTTCTGGGATTACAGCATATGGCACCGCTCCTGGTGTTATACATTGCTAAGAGTAGAGCCCAAGGCCTTATGCATGCTAGGCAAACACTGTATCGGCTGGGCTGCATGCCCAGCTCATGGGTCATTTATAGTGAATAGAAATGTATTGGCTTCTGGTTATGGAAGCTGAGACCTTCAAGGTTGTAGGGCTAGCATCTTGCAAAGGCCTTCCTACTGTGTCATCTCATGGCAGAAGGCAAAGAAAGGGAAAACAGGTGGATCACATCCATTTAGGAGGAACCAGCTCCAGCAGTGAGGCACCCTCTTTGCTGGGAGGCCTCTCATCCAACAGCTCTCTGCTGGGCACCATGTTTCCAGCACTTAAACTTGCAGGGACACATTCATATCACAGCAGTTGTCGTGTCTCAGGGTGTCTCTGGGACTCTCTCCACGACATTGCCCTCCCTGCCGCTGTCTTGGGTTCTGGTCCTTGCATCGGGCCCTTGAGGCATGAGGCAAGTGGAACTCAGAGCTTGACCCAGCTGCATCTCTGGCCCCTGCAACATTGGGCTTTGTTTTTCCATTCCAGCCTTCATGGAGAAAAACATTCATGAGTCACACTCTCTCTGCAGAAGCTACTCCACCAAGATCCTGGACACAGCAGAGATGAGAGCCTGCTTACCCCACGCCCAGAGAGTGCCTTTCTCCTGATCCCTGCTTGTGTCCCCCATAACTCTATGGGTGCAAGGGAAAGAGGATCCTAAAAGCTAGGCTGGCTCAGGTTCTGGTTGCTGACTGTATAGCTTGGGTCAATTATGTGTCCTTTCCAGCCAGAAAACGAGAGTGCAGGAACCAGTCTTGGTGACCTCATGAGGAATATGGTCTGGGACCCAGCATACAGTAGGTGCTTAGTAATGACATCTCTCAAGACTACCCAGCTGCACCCTGATGAGCAGGTGGAGCCACCGTGGTAGGGACTCTGACAGAAGAGGCCAGCAAGCCCCTCCCTCTCTCCTCCTAGACCCAGAGAGAAAGCTGGGGCATGGCAGCGGCTCAGCTCCACAGATGTTGTTATTACCCAGGGGCTTCTCAGCATGGATGTGTGGAAAATTTAATAAAAGGAAATCAAGTGTCATTTCCAGACAGGCTTTGCATTGTGCATGTCTGTCTGGAGCCTCTGGTAGGATCCTGGCATCTGCCAATGGCCCTTAGAGACCTTTGGCATTTGAAGGGCAGATGGACCCCCTCCTTTTGACTTCCTGCCCTTTCTCCACTCACTATCCTGGGGTCCTAGGACCCTAGAGGCATGAGCTGCTCCTGTGGTGTCCCGCTCTCCTGGGGCCTAGGAAAGGGTGAATGGGAGCTTTGCATTGGGAACCTGCAGAGAGCTGGGCACTGGGTACAGGCTGGTCCCCCATGAAGTAAGGACCCGTTTGTAACATCAGTGTCTTGCCAAGCTGCACATGTAGGTAGGAGATTGTTTTTAAGCTGAAGCTGGTAATCTTGAACAAGTCATCATACCTCTGGGTTTCTTTTTCAGCAGAGGAAGTCACAGATGTGTTTCCAGCATTTCCCACAGAGTCACTCTGAGGCTTTAAGATGAGGACACACATGCCATGACAGACATGATCATAATCAAACACATTGAATAAGTAAATGTTTTTTTTTAATTAGGAATGGCTGAGGATGTAGCTCACAATTGGAAAAGCAATTGTCTAGCCCGCTCAAGGCCCTAGGTTCAGTTTCTGCTATCCAGAAAAAAAAAGAAAGAGGGGAGGAAGTCTAAGAAGAGGAGTTTCACTTGCAGCAGCCCCTGGGTCAGGCAAGTAGTAGGCAAAAACTCTGGGAGTGAGGGATTTATTTTTCTTTCTTCTTTCCTTCCTTTCTTTCAGGGATATATGTGTGGCACATACATGTGTTCATATATGTGCACATGGGGAAACACATCCCTGTATATCTGTGGAGTTCAGAGGTGGATGTAAGGTGTTTTTTTCCCAATGGTTTTTTACCTTTTTTTTTTTTTTTTTGAGACGGGGATCTCTTCACTAAGCCTGAATCTGACAGTGTCACTGGGACAGCAGGCTAGGACTCCAGGGATCTGCCTGTCTCTGACGCCCTGTTGACATTACAGATCCCCACAGTCACACTTGGCTTTCATGTTGGCACCAGGGATCCAAACCCAGGTCTTTGTGCAGCCAGACCCGAACTCAACACAGAAGTGAGGAATGAGACCTTGGGGGGGCTAGAGTGAGATCTTAGGGGGCTAGAGTGAGAACTTGGGGGGCTAGAGGCTCTGCACCCACTGTGGCCTGTGGTGTCAGGGCTGAACGAGGCATGAGCATCTGTGAGCACGGGAATACATGCGTGGCTGGGTACCGTGTTTGTTAGTGTGACACGGGAGCCCTGTGTGACACGGGTGCAGCTTCAGTCCATATCCGTCTGACTACACAGCATGGCAGACAGACTGCATTCATAGAGAGGCTGGCCCGAGTGGATGGTGTGTCTTGCACATGGCTCACGGGGTCGCTCTGGAGCAGGGCAAGCCCACTGCCACTTGCCACTGTTTCCCCCAGCTTCCCCTCCCCAGTGCTGCCCTCACGGAGCTGTTTAGTTCAGTGGGCGCGGAGGTATGGGTTGCGGGAGCCTCATCTCTGCCTCTCTCTCTCCTGCCTCAGAAGAAAAGCAAAGTGCACTACCACATTGCCGTCATCATCAACTACCTGGGCCACTGCATCTCCCTGGTAGCCCTCTTGGTGGCCTTTGTCCTCTTTCTGCGTCTCAGGTGAGAAGCCCCAGGCACTGCCTGCTGCTCTCCCCTGGGCCCTTGAGCATGTGCAGAGGGAGGCAGATACGATACAGACATAGCTCTGTGCTGACAAAAGGGTAACCTGCCTCTCACTTGAGTAGTAGGGAATCTCCGTTCTCTTAGGACCTCTGGCAGAGACACATCTGGCCTTTCCCTCAGCAGCTGCTGGAGGAAGGAGAGTGGGAAGGGACAAAGCCCAGGCTCAACCGTGTTGCCAATTCCTAAAGTTGCTCCTCATCCCGCTTGGGGTTATCAGGCAGGTAGATCCCAGGAGGTGAGCGTTCCGCAGAGTGACATCCCTGTCTCAAGGTCAAATGTGCATGGCCCACGTGATAGCAAAAAGCTGGGGGTGGGTGGGACCAGGAGCTGAAAGTTGAGAGGGGTCTTACTGATGGAGGTGTCTTCTTTTGGCCAGTCCTCTGCCTTTCAATCCTGGGGTGTGGAGAACAAAGTGGGAATCCCTGACAACACCAGGCTCTGCCAGGAGTGGATGTCATAGCGGCCCTGGATAGGAAAGGCCTGTGGAACTCAGGGCAATCTGTCAGCCCTGCTCACACCAGCCCTTAGTCCCTCCATCTTGCATCTGGGCCGGAGTGATGCTGGCACCTGCCCTCATCCCGGCCCTCTCTCTTTCTCTCCCTGTTGCTGTTGCCACCTGCCTTCCCCTGCTGCCCCAGGAGCATCCGGTGCCTGAGAAACATCATCCACTGGAACCTCATCTCGGCTTTCATCCTGCGCAATGCCACGTGGTTTGTGGTCCAGCTCACCATGAGCCCCGAGGTCCACCAGAGCAATGTGGTGCGTCCCAGCTAGGGACACAGAAAAGGCCAAGCCTGGGTCACAGGAGCTAGAGCGGGGCTCACCCTGTAGAAGGGCTGGAGAGACGGCTCAGCAGTTAAGAGCTCTGGCTGCTCTTCCAGAGGGTCTGGGTTCAATTCTCGGCACACCCATGGCAGCTAACTACTGTCTGTAACTCCAGCTCCAGGGGATCTGACACCCTCACACCAATGCACATTAAGTTTAGAGGGGGCGGGCCTGAGTACCCACAGAACAAGAGGAGGACCCCAAGGAGCCTGAGGGCGGGGCACTATAGTTGACCACCCCAAGCTCATTGTCATCTCTGGTCGGGGCAGGGATGGTGCAGGTTGGTGACAGCTGCCTACAACTATTTCCACGTCACCAACTTCTTCTGGATGTTTGGTGAAGGCTGCTACCTGCACACGGCCATCGTGCTCACGTACTCCACTGACCGTCTGCGCAAGTGGATGTTCGTCTGCATTGGCTGGGGTGAGCTGGGCCAGCCTGTCCCCTGCATGTCCTCTCTGAGAAGAAATGGGCTGGCCGGGTGGAGAGGGAGGTGTGTGCATCCTTCTTAGGGATGAGAAGAGTGGGATCACCACAAAGGTAGCATCAGAGCTCAACCCCAGAAACCCCTGCTCTACTATAGGTCCTGGACTGCCATGGGGTCTTCCTTCACAGGGTTCAATGACAGCCCCTTTCTCTCCCTCTCTCTCAGGCGTACCTTTCCCCATCATTGTGGCATGGGCCATCGGGAAGCTGTACTATGACAATGAAAAGTAAGTCACTTTGTGAGGTCAGAGCCTAGCTCTTCAGCACACTCCCAAGGGGACTTTGGCCATTGTCTGTCCTGTAAAGACAGAGGCTTCTGCATCAACAGAGGCAATGCTGAGCACTGGCCTCAATTCAAGGATCCTTCCCAGTGCTCTGCCAAAGGTGGAGCTAGACAGCCAGGGTCACCTGTCCAGAGTTTTAAGGAGAGCAATACCAAAAGTCAGGCATCCCAGGCTCTGAATTGTGCTGTCACTAAGTAACTATGAGACCTTGGGGCTGTCACAGCAGGCCTTAGTTTCCTCATCTATGAAATGGACATCTTCATTCTAGCTACTGCCTCAAAGCTGTAGTGAGAGTGAAGTGCAGCCATGCATACTAAGCACATAGAATAGTACCTGGAGGCCGGGCATTGGTGGCGCACACCTTTAATCCCAGCACTTGGGAGGCAAAGGCAGGCGGATCTCTGAGTTCGGGGCCAACCTGGTCTACAGAGCAAGTTCCAGGACAGCCTCCAAAACAATACAGAGAAACCCCCATCTTGGAAAAAAAAAGTACCTGGAGCCCAGTAAATGCTACACGAGTGTTTATTACCATCAAGGTGTATTTTACAATAAGATTCTGTGGATTTCATGGAAACTGGTCCAGGTGGTTCCAAAGACTCTTCCAGCTTCCCTCTGAAGCCTCGGGTTGTTTGAAAGGAGACTCGTGCATTCCCAGTCAACCCTGAGGTCACAGCTTGCGTGTTGGGGGCTTCCCAGCTACCCCTTACAAGAATCATGTGGGAAGATCTAGAAAGTTCTGTACCTCAGAGCTCTGTGCTATGGGACTGAGGTGCAGCCTGGTCAACAGGGTGGTTCCAGTGTGAAGCTAAGATTGAGAACCTCACAGAAAGACAGTGAAGGTGGGAGGAGCCAGGCGTGCCCCCCCCAAGCCTTCCCAGATCACAGCCGGCTGACTTGGTGACTGCGGGGTCACAGAGGCAGCCCCTCCCTTCCTCTCACTGGGCTGCACCAGGAGTCTGGAAGTGTGTCATCCACATTTGTGAAAGTAGTTCCTTCTGCCTCAGGCTGGAGTGTTTGCACAGAGTAGGAAGCAGGCTGCAGGGAGCCAGTTCACTAAGTGGGTGTGGGGTGTTCTGGGGTGTGGGAATTCCTGGGGCGGGGTGCCTCTGCTTTGTAGGATGTGAAAGTGTGAGTACAGGAGATGGGGGCGGAACAGGAGGGAGAGAAGAAAGAAAGAGAGGGGCTGGGAGAGCCCAGTTACCTGCCTTTCCACCCTGGAGCAGAGAGGGTACCACTAAAAAGCAAGTTAGGCGTGAACAGCCCTGAAGCCCCACCTGGTGGACAGATGCAGGCAGTGCAGCGGAAGGATTCTGGGCGTGTGAACATGGGCCGATGAGCAGAGAAGCCCCAGGGCCCCCAGCTTGGAACCCAAAAATAGTGGTGTTAAACAAACCTGTTAGAGCCAGAAGGTCACATATGCAAACTTCACACTCTGGTTTGAAGAAGCATCCATCACAAGCCCATGTATCCATGCCAACACAGGACTTCCAATTAGCCCTGTCCCCATCTACTCCCCGGAACTTGCTGAAGTGCAGCTCAGGAGACCGCAGAGCAACTCTGCTTCCTGTCATACCACACATGTCAGCTGTGAACTCTCCCCTGCACAGGCTGCTCTCCAATGGAGTCCGACAGGGGTTGCTAGCGGTTAATAACCACCTGGGTGGCAGGGCAGTGTGCGTGTACACAGCCACTGCTGGAGTTCCCGAGTGGGCCCCGGAGAAAGCGGTGCTAGGCAGGGATCCAGAATGTCTCTGGCTTGCTGTTTTGAGAATTCTTTCCCTGAGAAATACAAACAAGCAGCTTCCCCTTCCTTATAGGGGTCCAAGGACAAACTCAAATGCACTTCACTCAAGTCCAACTGGGGGAGCCAGTGGACTTACTGGGATTGCTTTCAGGGCATAGGCAAAAGGTTATTTATAGGAGCATAGGTGACCTCAAAGTAGCCACACCATTAGAAAGTCTCCCCCACAGCATGGGTATGACTTCCCTGTAGCCACATAATGGAGTCTTACCCCCGTTACCCCTGTAATCGCTAGCCCCTCCTTAGACATGAGGCTTTGTGCAGTTAGGGCAGAATTATATACAACTAGCCAAGAGGCCTAGGAGGCAATGGCTGGAATCTCAGGCAAGAGGGTCCATTGACCCTCCCTCCCTACCCCCTTTCTATGAGGGAATGTCAACAGTTGGTCCCATCTCGAGGGTCCCTTACAAATAGTCACAACTGCATGGATGAGGGTGATGACCTCTGTGGAGGCCCTCTCTTCACAGACTTTATTCCAGCTACATTTTCCACAGCAGAGGGTACATCCACTTTACAGATAGGAGGACCACATCCCACAGCAGAGGATGCTATCACCTTTGCAAATAGATAGGCCCACATCCCATGGCAGAGGGTACCACTCCCTTTGCAGATACATAGGACCACATCCCACAACAGAGGTTACCATTCCCTTTGCAGATAGGACCACATCCCATGGCAAAGGGTACCAACCCCTTTGCAGATAGATAGGACCACATCCCACAGCAGAGGTTACCAACCCCTTTGCATATAGTCAGTTAGGACCACATCCCACAAAAGAGGTTACCATCCCCTTTGAAGATAGGACCACATCCCATGGCAAAGGTTAACAACCCCTTTGCAGATAGATAGGACCACATCCCACAGCAGAGATTACCAACACCTTTACATATAGTTAGTTAGAACCGCATCCCAAGGACAGAGGGCACCATCCCCTTTGCAGATAGGACCACTGAGGCAGTGCTGGCTTGGGTGTCTTGGGAATTAGGGTACCCTTTCCTGGCCACTGGCATTGATCCTGCTGTGGTCAAGCATTGCATTGCCCTATGAGCAAGCGCTGTGCCACTGAATGGATCCTGCTGGCAACCCCCCTCCCTTTTCTTTCTGGGCCTTCTAGGTGCTGGTTTGGCAAACGTCCTGGAGTGTACACTGACTACATCTACCAGGGCCCCATGATCCTGGTCCTGCTGGTAAGAGCCTGGGGACGTAGCAGGAGACAAGCCACCGTGGAGTGGGACACTCAGCCTGCCATGAATAATCTACCTAGGTGTCCCCAGAGGCAGCTCAGCCAGGAGTTTGTGGGTGTTGTGGAAGGAGGAGAGGGAGAGAGAAGTGGAGTGGTAAGCGAGTGTAGCGGGAACACCAAGAGCGGGGCTGAGAGGACTGAGGGCCTGCCCTGTCCACCCCACCCATCTCCATTCCAGCATGTATCCCTGCCACGTGTCCCCGCCCCTGCCAGTCACCCTCACTCCTTCTGGTGTGCTCCAATTGCAGATCAACTTTATCTTTCTCTTCAACATTGTCCGCATCCTCATGACCAAACTCCGGGCGTCCACCACGTCTGAGACTATTCAGTACAGGTACCTGGCTCCCGACGCCTACTTCAGAGGGTCCAGCCTCCTCTGATCCAGATCTCTTCCAAGCCAGTCAGTCCGGCCGCTCCACCTTCCCAGACATCCCTGAGACCATCTCCCAAACCCATCGCTCTCCCCAGAGCTGGCAGCTCCACCCCTCCTGGGTAGCCTGTGACTCTGGCCTCTCTTCCACCCTAGGAAGGCTGTGAAGGCCACTCTGGTGCTGCTGCCCCTCCTGGGCATCACCTACATGTTATTCTTTGTCAACCCTGGGGAGGACGAGGTCTCCAGGGTCGTCTTCATCTACTTCAACTCTTTCCTGGAGTCCTTCCAGGTACTACCATCCTCCCTGAGCCTTGCCAGTTTAACTCAGGATGGGGGGGGGCAGGGAGAGCATATTTGCACCTGCATGAGTGAGGATTCTTCTGCCAGAGGTCTGGAGGATTGGGGGGCTGGAAGAACCCCACTCACCTCTGACTCCCCTCTTCCCTTCAGGGCTTCTTTGTGTCTGTGTTCTACTGTTTTCTGAACAGTGAGGTAAGGAAGGACCTCAGGCTGGGGCTGAGCCTACCAAGATTGGGAGCTGTCCCCTTATATCTCTTCTGCCCTTGGGTCACTTCCATCCCTCTCCCCAGGTCCCCATGGGTTGCTGCAGGGAACTTCAAGAAGTCCCTGTCCCTGTTGATCTGCACTGTGAGGACAGCTCCCCCTCTGACTTTAGGCATGTCAGGAGTAGGCGTGCTGGCTAGAAGATGGGTTCTCTGTATTAGGAAGAGTCAGGCAAGGTACAGATTCTGTTTGGCAAAGGCCAGGTGGCTCCTTTGTTAGACCAGAAAAGGGTGTCCCTTTCTCACTTGAAATAAACTGACTTAACAAATAGCAAACCAATAGTAGTAAATATGTGAATGTCGCCACCTGCTGTAGATCCTGTCACTATACCTGGTAGCTGGGGCTGGTGCCCTGAGCCTGAGCTCTGATATGTTATCGTGTGCCCACAGGTTCGCTCTGCTATCCGGAAGAGGTGGCATCGGTGGCAGGATAAGCACTCGATCAGAGCCCGAGTGGCCCGCGCCATGTCCATCCCCACCTCCCCCACCAGAGTCAGCTTCCACAGCATCAAGCAGTCCACAGCAGTGTGAGCTACAGACCACAGAGCAGCCCCCAGACCTGGGGCTGGGGAAATGACACAAGCTTGCAGGCGAGCCTACCCGCAGAGGCAGCCAGCCATCCCATTTCTACCCCTGGGCTGCAGACCTGAGAGCCCACAGCACAGGGCTGGGCCCACAGCGCCTGGCTTCCTACTGCCTATTCTTCTTGGAGAGGGGAAATGGAGATTGTGGGCTAGAAATCCAGCTGCAGTTTAATGGCTTCTCCCAGAGAAGCTCACTGAAGAGCTTAGTCTCCAGTGGTTGTAAAGAGGCCGCTTGCTACCCCGGGGGCATCATGGGAAACTCTCTTCAGTGATTGTGACGCCTCCGAGTCTTTGGATGCTACTGAGAACCAGTGTCACATTGTCCAGTCAGGAGACCTGGAGATAGCATTAGAAATCTGGTGACATCATCAGACAGCACTCCCCCGGCCAGAAGCCACTCCTGAGCCACCAGAATGTTATCAGCGCCATGGCACTGCCACTGGAAAGTCCTGCCTCGCTGCCTTGCTCCCTTAGCCGTTTACTGTTCTGCCGGCCAACCCAGCTTTCTGTCACTTACACACAGACAGCAACAGTCCTCTCACCCGGAAATCTTACCACCTCCTGCCTCTGGGTGTCTTCTGATGTGTGAAGATGGGGTTGGAAGGGGACTGAGTTGCCTGGGAGGGAGAATCAGAGTGGACCCAGCTTTTGAGGAAGTAGTGGCACCTGGGTGCCCAGACCACTGGCTTCATTGGCTGGCCTCTGGGACATGCTCACAGGCTGTGAAGCAAGAAGGGTCCCTCTGCTCAAGTGCTCTGAATTGGGGCAGGTGGCTTCGGGGACAACTGACAGACCCATTACTCCCAGGCATGGAATGGGCCAGTCCTCACTGTCGGAGGGCTGAGGAGCCACAGCAGGACCGAAGTGGGGGGGGTTGATATAAATAATATTTATCTTTTCAACTACCTTTGTAAAGGTTTGCACTCTGCTGGGGCTGGGAGTAAGCCTGAGGGGGGGTCCCCGAGAAGTAGCCATCAGGGACTACTGCATGGCAGGAAGCCTGATCTCACTCGTACCATCCAGGACACACCCGGGGGCTGGAGGCCAGGTATAAACTCCAGACATGAAGATATGGGTGTGACCAAGGATGCTGAGTAAGAAACAGCTCTTGATAAGGAGGTGAAACCTGGAGAGTAGGGCCATGGGTTACCATGGCCAGGACAGCCAGACAAGAACTGCAGCAATGAGGCCAGGCACAAGTGGGCTCCAGTTCCGTGGAGGAGAGTCAGGCAGCAGTCAGGAAGCTGAGAAGCCTATGGAGATGTGGTTGCCAGGGCAATCTCAAGGCAGGACCAGAGGTGGGTCCTCAAGCAGGGAGAGAAAGGGAAATGTCAGATGCCATACAAGCACACACAGCAGGCAGCTGGGATTTTGGCTTGCTGAGGAGCCTGGAGCACGGGGCGAGGGAGCTGAGTTGGGATACTTATCCACCAACCCATGTCATCCATCGTTTACTGATTTGATTAGCTCACAGGACATCAGTTTCCCTATATTGGCCACATCCATGTTGTCACAGAGTTTTCAGATGCAACACACTGCAGGCCTCTGGAAGCCAGCATGTGCCTTGTAAGCACAGAGGAGACTGGCGGAATTACTATGAGGGTCCCCTTGCCATCTGGGGCATGCCCCAGGGTCTCTGGCCAGGGAGGAAGGTTGTCTGTGTATGCACACACATGTGCACACAGTCGCATACAAGGATATGTAGCATGAGATGCCAGGAGTAGACTGGGATGGCTGTAGCGGAAGAGCTCCGTAGTCCCTGCTGAGTCAAGGGGGTTGATGGAGGAGGAGGTGTATTCTTTCCTACCAGCTGCCCAAACAGAAGTGCGCCCTTAAGTAGAGGTGGAACAACCCAAACAAGCAATGAGCTGATGATGGCTTCTACATCAACTTAGGAGTTTGCAGTGGCCTGGGGAGAGCAAGGGACAAGCCCTCCCAGATGCTACAGGGACCTAAAGTGGCTAAGTGTCAAATCGTCACACTGAGATGGCTCTCCACTCTTTCAAGCTGAGCAGAAGAGTGGGCGAGGTGTTACACAGTACGGCAGCATTGGGGTGTGTTCGAAGGAAACTGAGGGTTGCAGTCTAGAAGCTGGGTGTGCCTGAGTGAGCAGGGATGATGGGTTGAGACGATGGCTGGGCCTCCCGTCCAGAGGCTGTAAGAGGAGGCTGCGCCAGGGTAAGTAGGAACGCTAAGCAGGGAGTAGCTGCAGGGGAGCATGTGTTCCCAGCTTCAGGCAGTGTCTGGGCAGGCCCCTCAACGGACATCAGGGGCCATTCTGCCCCAAGGTTTGGTGGGGGAATCTTCCTCTGGCTGTGACAGTTGCCGACTGAAGTCTCAGGGCCCTGTTCAGCATCAGGACGGATCTGTCCCCCATGTCCAAAAAAATGCTGTTCCATGTCACTCCTAGGGAACACAGTCTCCTGAGAGCCACCCACTTGTGAAGTACCTCACTTCTCCTGAGGTTCTCTTGGTGGACACAGAACAGCAGGGGGAGAAGCTCTCCACCCTGGGATTCTGGTTTCCCGCCAAGCCCCTGTGCTGATGTGGCGTTTGCCTTAGGGCTAAGATGGGAGCACCAGATCAGGGTAAACCACCTCCTGATGAGCGAGGGGAAATGGGTCTAGAATCCAGGTAGTCATACATACCTTAACTGGGGCCCTGTGGGTTGCTTTACCATCCACCAAATCTATTCCAACATGTTGTCCGATCCTTAACTCAGTGGGGGAACCGAGGCTGAGGAGGAAGGCCTGGCTGCATGTCTGGGGATCTTCCCTGCCCAGAGTCCTCCAGCCTTAGCTTGGGAGGCCAAGACCCACATAGCAGCACTGACCCAAAGAGACAGTGAGGCTGATCTCAACTGTGTCTGGGTGACATTGGCTTTTTCAGTGACTCACCCAGTGTCCAGCTGCCAGGTCAGCTGGGGAGGAGAAACTGAAGCTGTGTGCTCAGGGTCCTCTCTCTCTCTCTCTCTCTCTCTCTCTCTCTCTCTCTCTCTCTCTCTCTTTCTCTCCTTTTTGGTTTTTTTTTGAGACAGGGTTTCTCTGTGTAACATCTCTGGCTGTCCTGGAACTCACTCTGTAGACCAGGCTGGCCTTGAACTCACTGAGATCCTCCTGCCTCTGTCTCCCAAGTGCTGGGGTTAAAGGCGTGCGCCACCAACGCCCGGCTCTTTCCTTCTCTACTCCTCTACTTATCCCCCTCCTTCAAATGATGCTTCATTTTAATCTGTACCGCCCACGTCACCAGAAAACACTGTCAACCTTGTGTCCCCATCCAGGACCCATTCATCCCTAAAGAGGACTCCACAGGCCTCAAATTCATCTCCTTTAGGTCCACTCATGATTTCAAACTCACCTGTTTGACCACACTGGGCCCATAATGGGGAGGGAGCCTCTGCAGCAACCCAATCCAAGTCCTTAATGTCAGTGGACACTGGGCCTCGATTGGGGTCTCACTGCTCTTCATTCAATCTCTCATTTAACAGATGAGAAAATCTGAGCCCAGAGAGGATAAGACGTCTCCCTGAGGGTACTCAGCAGTGGCATGGCTCGATGAGAACCCAGGCAGCCTCAGGAACTCCATTGCTCCACCGTGGACCCCCAAGAGCCCATTGCAAGGTGGCCCTCTGTGTCCTCTCTTTGGGGACATTCTTCAGCTTCCCAGTCAGTTGACAAGAAGTATTCAGAGGCCAGCTGGTGGGAAGATCACACAGAACACAAGCCTCAGACTTCCCACCTCCTGTGTCCCAGCCTGTCCCTGCTCCACATTCGAGCTCGGGCTCCCAGGCTCCTGCTAACACACCAACCCTATTGATCCTGCAGTTCATGGGTAGAGGAAGGCCTGGACCATGTGAAATCTGCAAAGTTTTCAGAATTCAGGGAACAGTTGTGAGATAAGTTCCAGGCTGCAAGACATTCTTCGTGTCTCTCTGTGGGATCCTAGATGAACCCCTTATGTCCAGCCTCATTACCCATTAGACAGGGCAGGGCCTTTTAGAGAACCAGGGAGGCTGGGGCATATCACTGACACCCAGCTAGGATGCAGAACATGGGGATGTTCCTTCTTTGGCCTTCATCCCCAGGGGGGTGGGGAGGACACAAATAGTGCCCAGACCCAGATCTGCTCCAGCTGGAAAACTGTGGGTCATTGAGCCAGGCCAGGAGGGGATCTAGGGCTCCCAATCCCTTCCCTACCTTCTAGAGTCCCTGCCCTAGTCTGAGACCCACGGTCTCCATCTCTAGTCCTCACTACCTTGATTGCACGAAGATAAATATTCCAGCTGCCACGTAGAACCTACGTCCCCTTGGAAGGCAGACACTTTGTTCCAAACTACCTGGGGAGACCCTGAGATCCCAGATCCTAGCTGATGGTGGCAGTGAGGCCAGACAACACTGCCAATGGAGGAGCACACCCAGAAGTGTGTACCTGGAGGTCGTGGGGGGAACTCTGTGGAAATGAAGCCTGGAGAGTAGCAGAAGCCCAAAGAGCTCAGCTGTTGCCTCGAATGTGAAAACAAAAGCAACAAGTAGTCACACACACACACACACACACACACACACACACACACACACACACACACGAGGACAGTTCCAGAGCTGGTGGACATCAAGGACTCAATGGGTCTCCCCAAATCCCCAGCGAACCAGACACAAAGGTGCATGGAGTGAAGGGTTCAGAGAATTCTGTGAACCCAGGGCACCCCTAGACTGAGGATCAGGCATGGAGGGTGGTGGAACCAGAAATATGGTGATTTCACATATTCTCAACCTCACTGGGGTACCCACTGGCCAACAGAGTCCTGATGACCAAAATTAAACCCATTCTGAGGACAGTGCTACTACAGTGAACTGAAGTCCTGGTTTCTTGGTTTTCGTTTTTTGTTACGATAAAATACACCTAAACACAAAAACTCACCTTCCAACATACGAAAGTATACAATTCTGTGGTGTCCATGTTATCATAGCCTACAAGTATTTTTAATTATTACATGTCAGTAGAACACACCCACAATATTATTTCCAGAATATTTCATCATCCTGAGTGGAAATCCCATCCCTCCTCCTCCAGCCCCGGCCATGCTGAATCTGATTTCAGTTTTTGTGGGTGGATTCCCAGAAGGATGCAGGATGCCAGCTCCGACAACTCTTGATGTAACTGAAGAGGGATCTGCCAGCCTCTTCCCTTGGACCATGCCACCGTGAATCCTCAGCAGCTCTGCTCTAGCTTGTCCGTATACCTGTGGCTGAGTTGGTTGGTTGGTTGGTTGGTTGGTTGGTTGGTTGGTTGGTTGGTTTTGAGTAACCCAGCTGGCTTCAAGCTTGCTATGAAGCCAAGGATAACTTTAAACTTCTGATCCTCCTGCCTCCACCCCCTGAGTGCTAGAATTATAGGCATGCAGCACCACATTTGGGTACATGCTGTGGTGGGGTTTGAACCCAGGGCTTCACACACACTAGGCAGGTACTGGATCAACTGAGCTACAACCTCAGCTGTTTGCTTCTTAATAATAAGTGGCTCCATGAATGGTCCTGGTTTCAAAAAGACTCCTTATGGGGAGCAGGGCTTTAGTAAGGTTCATAGCCTTTGGTGAAGGCTGCATGTCCAGTCAGCATCTGAGTGCTTGGGTCTAAAGCAGTGGTTCTCAACCTGTGGGTCGTGACCCTTTGGGGTTCGAGTGACCCTTTCACAAGGATGGCCTAAGACTTAGGAAGGTTGAGAACCAGTGATGTAGAGGGATGTACTCAGAAATGACATTGTTGCTGTGTGGTGATGGCACACACCTTTGATCTCAGCACTCAGGAGGTGGGGGCAGATAGATCTCTGGGTTTGAGGCCAGCCTGGTCTACAGAGGAGTTCCAGGACAACCAAGGCTACACAATGAAACACTGCCTCAAAAAAC